GCTGCCAACTAATTAAACACTTTACACGTCCATTTTAGAACTAAAAAATAAATAAAAATTAATTAAGGGTAAAGTTGTCATTTCAGCATTTTTTTCACTGTTGTGTGCCTCAAAAATTACTTCTCACTCGCGCAAAATGCGTGCACATCACGCGTTTTACCAGGTAAGACACGCGTGTTTATTTATTATAAGGTTGGATAGTTAAAGTGTCTATTTGTGCACTTTGAAAGTTGGAGGTCAAAGTTAAAATTTGAAGCCAAGTTTAAGGTCCAATATATGTATTATGCCTTTTTTAAAAATGGGGCAGTAAAAAGAATTGATCGAAATATCTAATAATATTTTTATTAAGCATAATAGAACTATAAATAGTCAACTTGATAACATAAGCAGAAATTTGCCTAACAAAAATTCAAAAAAGACTAAATAATCTCAATAATTAAAACAACCTAACAAATATTTAAAATTCAAATGTATCCTAAAGTTTGGTAATTTATTATGCTAAAAATGACTACAATATTTAAAAACAAACTCAACAATATTGTTCAGTAGGTCTACAGAACTGACATAACTTTCTTTGGAGTTTCAGGATCACGAAACACGAATTCACGATTATCTTAGCTTTTTTTGTTTATTAGTTTGTGAATTTTTTGCAATATGACTTACGAATTCCATTTGACCCCATATTTTGTGAGTCCATTCAAAACAATCTAGTAAACAACACTCACTAATTCTCAAGAACCAACATCACTTTTTTGGAGTTTTTGAGTCACGAAGCATGAATTAAGGATTATCTCAGCTTTTCGTATATATTAGAAGTCTGTGAATTTTTTGGTATAGGACTGACTGACTCCGTTTGATCCTAAATTTTGTGAGTCCATTCATCACAACCTAGTGAACGATACTCTTTGTCTTTGCAAAATCGACATCACTTTTTTTTGGAGTTTCAGGGTCACAAAAATGGAATTCAAGATTATCTAAATTTTTCATGTGTAATAATCCATGAATTTTTTGAAATATGTCAAACCAACTATTTACCCCAAATTTTATGATTCAATTCAAAATGACCTAGTGAACGATATTCATTGTCTCGGGTGACACCACTGCTTTTGGAGTTTTAGGTTAGGTTTGAATTAAAGCTCGAAAGGACAAGCTCACGGGTTGGGTCTCCAACAAACAAAATGATGGCAATAATATCTCATATCACATATGGATAGATTTTAGTTGATTTTGTTTGACATAAGGGCTATTTGCTTTTTCATCATGAAAATAAGAGAAAAAAAGATCACTGCTTTTCTTATAAGGTTTTTGTTGCATTCTAACTCAATTCTAATGAGGGATTGAAAGAGACATAGACCTAATTTGTTTTTATTGTGGAAGTGTAACAAATAGATGCATTTAGCTTTAGTTTAAATTCAGATAAAATTGACATTAAAATTTAATTATTGCTCCCTCAATTTCAAAATAATTGAATTGCCGTGTTTCACACCCTTTAAGAAAAGAAGATTAGAACATACATTAGACATTGCTTTCCATTTTTACCCTTATTAATTGTTGTCAAATTAATCTTTAGAATAATTCAAAGCAATTAAAGTTTCTTAAACTCATCACATAAAAAATTTAAATGAAGGGTAAAAATAGAAGAATATTTTAAAAATAGTCTTGAAGATTGAATAATTAAATTGAGTTGAAATGTAAAAAAGGTTTCAATAATTCAATTGTTTTGAAATAGAAAAAACATTAAAGATAGAAATACATCATTTTATTTTTTTTAGGAACGACACAAATTTTACTTTAACCATGTGGTGTTGTAGTTGTACTATTACTGTCTGCACAAATAATTGAGAAGCATTATGTGCTTTCATAGGAAAAGGCATCAATTAGCTACCACGTTTAACTCGTTTAAGGGTGTGTTTGGTATGAAGGGAAAATGTTTTCTAATTTTCTCGTGTTTGGTTGGGTTAAATGTTTTCCAAATCAACTCATTTTCCTTAAATTTAAGGAAAATGACTTCCCTTCAAAACTTATGGAAAACATTTTCCAAAACTCTCTTCCAACTTCAAATTACAATTACTTTTTTGTTGAAAAGATCAATTTATTTTGTTCCTACCCTCAAACTTGCCCCCAACCGCCCCCCCGCCCCCCAAAAAAAAATAATTTTAAAGCTTGTTTTTAAATTCAATTTTTTTACCCCACCCTCACCCCTACCCCCACCCCCTCCCAAAAAAATATTAAAAATTATTTTTAAAAGATATTTCTAATTT